GTCCTCGGCGACGACTCCGGCGAGTGGCGGACGGCGTCCATCGCGCCGGAGACGCTGACCTACACGGGCTGGTCGGGCTCCGCGGACGGGAACCGGGCCTTCGACGCGTCGACGATCATGCGCTGGGACCTCCAGTGGAGCATCGACGGCTTCGGCGACGTCGGGTCCGAGGAGGCGGGCGTCGTCTGGGTCGACGACGTCGCCTGCGACGGCGGACCCGAGCTCGCGGGCGACGCGTTCGCCGCGCCCTTTGGCAGCGCGGCGCGGCGCGGCTGGACCCCGCGGGCCGACTCGAACACGACGGTGGGCACCGACGGCCTGGTCATATCCGCGCGAGACGTCGGCGCGAACGGCGACGCGGAGGCGACCTTCGCGCTGCCGCCGCCGGCCTTCTACCGCTTCGACGCCGCCGAGACCGTCTCCTTCCGCGCGGCCGCGACGGCCGCGGGCGCGGGCGTCTCGCTCGCCGTCGACGGCGCCGTCGCCGTCGAGGCGGACCTCGGCGCGGACGCGGCGACGGTCTCCGGACCCTTCGGCGGCGGCTCCGTCGCGACCTACACCGTCGCCGCGACGGGCCTGGGCGCCGCCGGCGCCGCGGCGACCTTCGCCGACGTCGCCGTCGCCGGCGCGCCGCGCGCGCCGGCGGCGGCGGCGTCCCTGGTCATGCAGGGCTTCGACGGCGAGTCCATCGCGGAGAAGGAGGACGTCTTCGTCTTCGGCGGCGCCGGCGCGCTCGACTACGAACGGGTCGACGGCGCGGCCAAATTCAGCTACGCGGTCGTCCAGACGGAGACCTGGGGCGGCTACGCCGTCTACATGTACAACCCGAACACCGTGGACGTGCCCCGCCAGCCCATCAATTGCGCGTCGGCGACGTCGCTGAGCTTTCGCTACAAAGTCGAAGCTCCCTCGGCGGGGCGCGTCCAGCTCCGCTTGATCCTCATGGACTGCGGCGACGACGCCTGTTTAGAGGATCCGACCCTGGAGGAGCACTGGTACTCGTTCTTCGACGTCCTCGGCGACGACTCCGGCGAGTGGCGGACGGCGTCCATCGCGCCGGACACGCTGACCTACACCGGCTGGTCGGGCTCCGCGGACGGGAACCGGATCTTCGA